CAGTGTTGCAAGTCTGCAGAATTCCACAGGTATAATCGCTTAATCGTGTGTAAATAAAGATGACACCTTTTTCAACATAATTTAGCATTTCGACGAAGTTGCACTTCGACTTTTGGCCGTCTTAATTTTCCGTGCCAGCGAAGTTCTCTCAGTATGAAACTCAGTGTCGCTTCAGGTAGCTAGGCGAAAAGTTGTATTTTTGCGACAGTTCTTCCAAGCGTTTTGCCTTTCTTCCTGCTTGTTTTGAAGGGACAAACGAAGTGTCCCAATGACTATGATAGCTCTCGAGGTCTTTGTACAGGGCAAATTTTTGACTTTCCGAGAGTTACTGGTCTACTTCGAATTCAGGCTCGCCTTCACCGTCCGCCATGTTTTTTTTTATTTGCCGCCCTTCGCGACAGCCAATCACAAGCGTTGAATTCAAATTTGTTGCGAGACAAGTTGTAGCTTCAGTGGTACTACGAGCAGCAAAACTAAAATTTGTTGCAGAAAGTATAACTCGAGTCTACTTTGCGCAACATATTGCCTCAACTTGCAACACTGTATTTTGCTGCGAGACAAGTTGGTCACAAACGTCGTANGACTTTCCGAGAGTTACTGGTCTACTTCGAATTCAGGCTCGCCTTCACCGTCCGCCATGTTTTTTTTTTAATTGCCGCACTTCGCGACAGCCAATCACGAGCGTTGAATTCAAATTTGTTGCGAGACAAATTGTAGCTTCAGTGGTAATACGAGCAGCAAAACTAAAATTTGTTGCGGAAAGTAGAACTCAGAGTCTACTTTGCGCAACATATTGCCTCAACTTGCAACACTGTATTTTGCTGCGAGACAAGTTGGTCACAAACGTGGTAATACGCGCAACAATGTATTTCAACTTGCAATGCAACAATGTTGCGAGACAATTTGAAGAAAAATGTTGCCCGTATTACCGGACCTTTAAACAGCATTTACGCTAACTGGCCAAATTTCGTCAATATTCCTCGGGAAACATTTTGGTGTATCTATTTTCAAATCAGGAGATTCACGACTCGCTGGCAACCATGTTTTAAGGCATATTTGAATGAATCTGTTTTCCACTAGATCAAGGACAGAACAGAAATTATAATTTTGTTTTCTCTCACACTGAGCCAATGAAACTTGAAAAGTAAAAGTATATTCGACTCTAAAACCCTATACATTTTTTTTTTCACCTTGTGGAAAAAAAGTTAAATTTTACCTCGCTATTGTACGGAGCAACTCCCCCCAATTTAAAAAACAAAAAAGAAAACAGACCACAGTTTCGTGTTACATGTAGCTTACATCCAAACAACTTTATGTTGCGCGAGAACACTAAACTCATCTGGTTTTTTTTTTTCACTCTTGAGTTTCGTTCTTTCTGTAGGTAATTTTACACATCGTGTCGTCACTTACATTTAGCTAAACAGTCAAACATTTGTCTTAGAAGTAAATGATGTCTTACCTGTCAGTTGTACACGCGGTAGACTTGTTAACCTATCGGCTGATAACTGTCACATATCATCCTCCNATGACTTTCCGAGAGTTACTGGTCTACTTCGAATTCAGGCTCGTCTTCACCGTCCGCCATGTTTTTTTTTATTTGCCGCACTTCGCGACAGCCAATCACAAGCGTTGAATTCAAATTTGTTGCGAGACAAGTGGTAGCTTCAGTGGTATTACGAGCAGCAAAACTAAAATTTGTTGCGGGAAGTAGAACTCAGAGTCTACTTTGCGCAACATATTGCCTCAACTTGCAACACTGTATTTTGCTGCGAGACAAGTTAGTCACAAAAGAGGTAATACGCGCAACAATGTGTTTCAACTTGCAATGCAACAATGTTGCGAGACAAGTTGAAGAAAAATGTTGCCCGTATTACCAGACCTTTAAACAGCATTTACGCTAACTGGCCAAATTTCGTCAATATTCCTCGAAATTATCGCGAAACATTTTGGTGTATCTATTTTTAAGTCAGGAGATTCACGACTCGCTGGCAACCATGTTTTAAGGCATATTTGAATGAATGTGTTTTCCACTAGATCAAGGACAGAACAGAAATTGTAATTTTGTTTTCTCTCACACTGAGCCAATGAAACTTGAAAAGTAAAAGTATATACGACTCTAAAACCCTATACATTTTTTTTCACTTTGTGGAAAAAAGGTTAAATTTTAGCTCGCTATTGTACGGAGCAACTCCCCCCAATTTAAAAAAAAAAAAAAGAAAACAGACCACAGTTTCGTGTTACATGTAGCTTACATCCAAACAACTTTATGTTGCGCGACAACACTAAACTCATCTGTTTTTTTTGTTTTTTTTCACTCTCGAGTTTCGTTCTTTCAGTAGGTAATTCTACACATCGTGTCGTGACTTACATTTAGCTAAACAGTCAAACATTTGTCTTAGAAGTAAATGATGTCTTACCTGTCAGTTGTACACGCAGTAGACTTGTTAACCTATCGGCTGATAACTGTCACATATCATCCTCCGTGTATGATCAATCCATCTTGAGTTCATCACCAGTTCCACTAGGCCTTAATTACTCTTTTTCACTGAAAAAGGCAGCCAATCTGAAATAGGAAAAAAATACGAAAAAATACTTGTGAGCATTACAGCAATTATTGCCTATTATTATTTTACGAATCTATTTCAGTTGACCAAAATGTGACAACATAAAAACTGAGATCCAGATCTTCCGAAGATGTTTGAGAAGATCCTCTTTTAAACTAACTAACCAATGCATCGAAAACTGCAAGGAATAGCTTTAGTTATCTTAAATTAAAGACGACACAAATGTGACTTCACGAAACCAAGCTTGCAGCATTTATATTGAGGGAAAACTAAGCACGGAGGAGCTTGTTCCCTGCTTCTTTGTATTGTATCTTTGCCAGGGCAAGTATGTCATCTGGCAGGGTGTCTGGAAAACCCGAATAGCAAATAGCGAATAGTCGCGAATAGCGAATAGTACCGAATAGTGCGAATTGTGGCGACCAGTCGCGAAAAGTGGCGAATAGTGACGCATAGTCGTCAATAGTCACCGCTTTAGATCTAATATCCAGCGTTAATCAATTATCCAAATAAGCAACAGAATTTCAGTGACTTTATTACCTTTTCTTCTCCGGACTCGGGCTAGTACGCTGTCCATCGCCGACATTAAGAAAATAGAAAACACAAGGATAACCTAATAAAGACGTACTTACGCTTTTGCAGCGGTTAAAACAGAAGAAATTACGCTTAGAAACACCTTTTGTCCCGATAAGCGTCTGTGCTTTTTAGCGGAAAATCCCATCCTACGTTGCTACGAGGTTAACTGCGAGATACTGGGTACCCTATTTGTTACTACTTGCCACTATTTGCCACTCGTTACCCCTATTTGCCACTATTCGTCACTATTCGAGACTGTTCGCCACTATTCGCACTATTCGTACTATTCGCACTATTCGCTATTCGGGACTATTCGCTGTTCGCTATTCGCGACTATTCGCTATTCGCTATTCGGGTTTTCCAGACACCCCATCTGGCATACTTGCCCGGCTGACGACTTGAAGAAAAAACCAATATGGATCTCTGATTATTTATGGTGTAGTGGCATAACACTAAGTGAAATGGTCCCCAGATTAAGAAGCCTTCCCAATGACCTTGAGTTTAATGTGCTTGAACAGAGCACTTTATTCAAACAGTAACTTACTTCACCCAGGATTATAAATGGATACCAGCAACCTACTAGACTAACATGACGAAATGGCAATAACCAAGGGATTAAGAAACATTTGAGTTGTACGTGCTAGATTTATTAAACATGTACATTATACATTGTACATATAGTCACAAACCTTTACAAAATGAATTTGCATGTTTAAACTTAAGGTAATGATCCTCCCATGAAAGTAGCGATTAAATTTCGTGGTTGTTAACAAATGCTGACAGTAGCGACATTCAAAAAGTAATAACCATTCAAAAGTAGTGACCTCACAATTTAATGTAATTTGACTTGTTATGAGAAACAATGATAGACTGCATAACAGTCGTATTTTTTGCGAACGCGTGCGACGGTCAGTATTCAAACGAAAGGTCTGGAGCGAGTGTAAAAACGGCGAGGGAGAATGGGGAGAGACGCTTTCTCGCCTCAAATGCCCTAGGGGCGTGTGAGGCTCGCGCGCTTCACACGCGAGGATCGCGCTTACAGCGCTTCGCGTCCTCCCCAAACGTCCGAAAACGACTGTTTTGCAGTCTAAATCAATGAAAACAACAGATACAACTTGTAAGCTGAAACAGAATGACCTCATATTATTACTATTATTATTATTATCGTCCTCACGTAATGTTTGTTTATTATTATTATTATTATTATTATTATTTAAATGTGTAGAGTATTTTTTACTATTCTTATTTAAATTTTTTCGACAAATGACAATAGACAAATTTATAAGGGTTGTAAAGAATGAGTGTAATTT